TCAGTGGAGTAATGGGGAACAAAGGGCTGACTGAACTGGCTTCAAGAGATAGAAATGAGGAAGTAGATGTTTGTTGAATGGGTAAAGTATTGGATGAATGAAGAAATGATGTCTTAGAGAGAATTCCATAATTGGTCAGGAACCAAAATAGATGAGTTATTTTGAACTCTCAGAGTCTCTGAAAAATTTCCAAATAGAAACAAGGATGCAATTGCATGATGCAAAGCTTTTCTTAAGTGACAAGGGAATTCAGAGTAAGATTAACCAAGCAGTGGAGTTATTCTAGGGAAGGTTCCATGTGAGTTCTGTAGTGATCCCATTTTATCAACTGCTGACCCAGTTCACAAAGACCTTCGTGCAGGACTTCTCAGAGGCTTCAGGGAAGAGCAGTCCCTGCAGGCACTTATGTGTAGCATAGTCAGAGACTCTTTCCAAACACCTCTTGCTAGTGTGTGGAGTTGCTATAAGAAGCCTGTAAGGCCAGCTCTCATTCCTTTGGAGGCTGGGCTGTACAACGTCTGAGTGATTAGAAAGAGGTGAGCAGAAAAAACCTGACCCATCCAACATAGTGCATTGAAAATGCCTTTTTTGGAAATACTTCTGTATAAAATTTTTATACTGAAATAATGATGGAGATGGCCTAAGTGATCACCTATATTTGAGGAAGAGGTAGGCTGTTCTTACCTGCCACCCCCTGGAGTATGATAGTAATGAAATACGGAGAATATAGACTCAAGCTTTGATTTTGTGACATTCCTCAAGTGGTCAGAGTCTTAAAAGGCACTTTGGTGTAGATTCCATGTAGAATGTGTTTGTACTTATATGACTGAGGACAAATAACCTAGGGACCATATATTTCCCTTTACAGAATTGTCTATGGTGAAGTCCAGGGCTTGGACTGTGAAATAGAATCTGGCATAGAATATTTGAAGAACCGCCTGTTTCCCATAGTTCCCCAAATGCATAGGGTGCTCTTATTTGCCTATCTGTGCCTTTGCCCATGATGTGCCCTCTATGTGAAATACCCCAATCCCTTTTACCTGACATGCTAAGGTCTAGGAGCACCTTCTCTAGGAGACCTTCCTCATCCTCTCAGACACACACCTATCCCCTCGCTATGCTCCCCAAACCATTTTCATGTGTCATTCCTTCTCCACACCTACCGCACTGAACTACAGTTGTTTACTCCTCTGGTTGTTTACCCTCACTGGGCTGTGAGTTTCCTGAAGTCAGGGATTTGGTCTTCTTCCTAATTTTATTCTTCCCATCTAGAATAGTGCTTGTACATTTTGAGCACACACTCACTGTTTTGAATGGATGTATGAATGCTTGAGGGCCTTAGTGAATGAATGAGTGAATGAATAAATGAGAAGGTCAGAAAAAAAATGTTATCCTCCAAAAGGAAGCTAATGAAAGCATAAAAGTGCCAGTGACTTTACATACATGCACAATTTGTGCAGGTAAGGGTACTTTTGAAATCCAGCTGAGATGACAAGATCATTTCAACATAGTGCGTATGAAGAAGAGACATTACAATCGACTAGTAATATGTCTAGCACAAGTTGGTGAGAACTGTGCTGATTGAAAGCAGAGTTGTGTAGTGAAATTGATTCTTTTTTATCTAGATTTGAGAGAGAGATTTCATCTGTAGGACACATGAACATTTTGTTGTTGGTTATTTCTTTTAAGCAAGATATTTTTCATCTTAAAGTGTAAGGGCAAAGTACACTTTAATAAACATGTTTATCTAAAGCAAGGCTTCACTGTAAAGAAGGAAGGAAGGAAGAAAGGAGTGAAGGAAGGAAGGAAGGAAAAAAGAAATGAGCTGTTATACCTCTAAAATGGAAGCTACGTGTTACATTGAACTGTCATTTTATCCCAACATGCCTTGGTTTCTTTCATGCATATTGTAAAATGATAATAGCCCTTATTAGTATTTACATTATAAAAGTGTTGTTACTGTAAATTAGATAGTATAAAATGGGTTATGATGTCTTCCCTGAAAGACATGCACTATACACAAATGAGCTATTATTATTTAGTTTTTCCTTTTCAATCTCATTAAATGAGAATTAGATGAAAACTTGGCTTTAAAGCAATATCCGGTGGGTAAATGATTATTGACTGAAGTGAAATGAAAAAAAAAAAATCTTTAGCTGAAAACTCAGTGTAGCCAGTATGTGCACAAGGCAAAAACAGTATATTTGTCTGTGATGTTCATCACTGTTTTTATCCCTCTCCGTGCTATAATCACAAACTGAAGACAGTGAAGGCTTTCTGTTCAGTCATTGCGAGCGTTTTTGAGAATATGGACATCCTGGAATGATTACAATTTGGCAACATTTTTTCAACTAATCAAGCCACGGAGCTAGTTTTGTTATTGATTTCGGGCCTGCATGAATACCTTGTCAGGCCTCTGTTTCCATTCCTGGTTCTTAGGTTCAGGGATGGCTATTCACTACAACCTTTTCAGGTTGTTCCCCATTCACACCACCCAGGCCAGAGCTTATCTGGCTTCCTCTTGCAATCCAGCGTTATGATGGCAGGAGAGGGGTTGTGGAGATAAGATTGGGGGAATTGTTGTGCAAGTTGGGAACTTCAGTTCGAGTCACAAAGGCCTGAGAGAACACACTGGGAAGATTCGGGATAACAGATCCAGTGGGATGGATTTACTGTCCAGCATGACTGTGCCTGGCCTCTGTGTGTGCATAAGAGCTTCAGCCCATTTCCAATTCTTGGTCCTTGTTCTTGGATGGCCCTTCTGCTCCTCCCCTCATGTCCAAACCCCTTACAGTGTTCATCCATAATGTATTGGCTCACCTTCACTCCCTAGGACCAATCTTCAGCATTGTTGACAGTGGTAGTCATCTGTTTTCCACCTGACCCATGTATTTTGGCTTCTGGATTTTGTTCTCAGAAAGGCCCCCTGCTTGGATAGTGGTCTGGCCAGCTGTGGGGCCACCTGCCTTCTCCAGACTCCAAGGTGACCAAATTTCTCTCCTCTCCTTCTAACTGGTCCCAATACATAAGCTCTGGCAATAAGTGAATGGTAATGATCATGTGACAACTGTATCTGACCAGATTTTTACCTATGGTGGGCTGTTCAGAGAGGCCAGGTTACATCATGCACCACAGTGGGCCTGGTGTCCAGGAAGACGGTGCAGGCCTTTGAGGCCTCGCAAAGCATCGGGTGCAGAGGAAGAGCTGGGTGCAGAGTGGAGAAGGCAGGTTTGGTTTACTCTACGGTGTTAGCCATGTCCAGCACTGGTGGTGGAACCACAGGCCCATGCACAGGCCACACCTGCAAGCAAGAGTGTTGCTAGGTAATCAGCTGAGCTACAGGTGACTATAGGTGGTGAGGAAGCCTTCGTGGTGGCCCTCTTTCCTTCCCTTTGGGAAGAAAATTGAGGGATTAACTCTTCCATTTTTGAGTCAAACTTTTTGAAATAGTTGTGTAGACATTGTTCACTGGCTGTCTTTGTTCCTCGATCCATGTGACCGGGCTTCTGCCTCCACAAGCTGCTCTTGACCTGCTGCTCAAGTGTCTCCTTGGCGCTCACCCCATGACTGCTTCTCAGCCTTTTTCTTGATCTCTTGACAGCATTTGCCTTTGTTGACCACAACCTACTTGTTGAAATGTGCTTTTCCTTTGTCCTCTGTGATACCTCACATTCTTGTTTCCCTTGTCTCCCTCTGATTGCATCTTCTTCCTCTTTTTTTTTTTTTTAAGGAAACTTTGCCCATCCTTTAAGGTCAGTTTTCCTCTTGGGCTCTCTTAGGCCTTTTCTCTTCCCCAATGCTCACTTAGGGTATCTCATTCATCATTGTGGATTCTATTGTTGCCTGTCATGTGCTGATGATCCCTACACCTATATCCTCAGACTTCTAGATCAGACTACCTGCTGCTACCCTGCCCATGTTCTCCAGGTGTCACACACCAAACATGATCTGGTCTGAACTTGCCCCTTCTCCACAGCTCCTCTTGTTTGTGTTTCTATTTTGCTGTCCTGGTGACTGACATCACTGTCCACCCAGGTGGTCAAGCCAAACATCTGAGCAGCAGTCTTTACTTTTCTCTTTCAAAACCCTAACATTCAAGTGATTACACATTTTAGTAGACTCCACCTCCTTTATGACAGAGCTTGTAAGGTTCTGAATAATTTGGTCCCACTTACCTTTCTGATCTCATCTCTGACCGCTCTGTCCCAGCTATGCTGAACTAATTTTCAGTGCTCAGATGCTCAGCATGCACAGTCATTTCTGTTACCTCCAAAATGTGCATCTGCCATATCTCCTCCACCTAAACAGACTTGCCCCGTTTCTTTTTTTTTTTAAGATTTTATTTATTTATTTGAGAGAGAGAGTGTGCATGAGTGGGGGGGGGAAGGCAGAGGGAGAGGGAGAAACGGGCTCCCCACTGAGCAGGGAGCCCAACATGGGGCTCGATCCCAGGACCCTGGGGTCATGACCCAAGCCTAAGGCAGATGCTTAACTGACTGAGCCACCCAGGCACCATGCCCCATTTCCTTTTTTAAACTAACTCCTTCATACCTTGTAAGTCCCCATGTACAAGTCTCTAACTTGCAATTCTCCCAAAGTCTGGATTAGGTGATCCTCCTAGAGCTCTTGATATACTTCTGTATCAGAGCTTCCTTTCTTATTTCTAGCTTGCCTTCTACTATAAGCTCTACTCTAAAGCCCCTGGAAACAGGGACCATATTTATCCTATTCACCTTGGTATTCCTAGTACCAACACAGTAATTGGTACAAAATAAATGCTCAATGAAGAGGGAATATAAATGTTAAAGGTATCATTGTGAGAATATAAATTTTGAATCAGAATATGCAATTATCTGGGACTTATCAAGTCCCTCTAATATCAAAGGGAATTGAAATTTATCTAAAACTCTTTAGAAGAATTTATCAACATCAGAATAATGAGCAGATAGCAGTTAATAGAGGTGCATTTCACATCTGTCCCTGGTGGGCTTCTTTTCCAGAATTCAGTATCCAGATTCTCTGAGCCATGTTTTGGGATCACCCAAGCATTCCATCCTCCTGAATTTTCATAAATTACTGGATTCATAACCCACTCCATACTTGAGAAGATGGGGATTGGAATAAGGTAAGTGTTAGCTTCTCTGTTTTTCAATTCTTCGATTCTCCTCTCTGGAGTTTTCGTCAAGAGGTGTGACTGGCTTCCGTTCTAGTCTTGATGGCCTCACAGTGTTTGAATATCCTATGCATATGAAGAAATGTTGTGAAGTCTCTTGAGGAATTATGTTCTTTCAAATTTTATTTTTGTTTCATGACTATTTACTTTCTTCCTATTGTTCTACCAATTTTTTCTTAATGTGATGATTCCACACAGAGGAAAGTGGGCTTTGCAAAATCAACTTGCTGCCCACTTCGGGACACCTTTTGGACCAGATGCTCACTAAGAATGTAGGACATGAGCACTGCAATTAAACTTTAAAAACAATTCTGCGTTAGCCATGTTGTCTATGGACCACCTCCCATTCCATCCCACTGTCAACTTTCCTTATCCCCGTACCTGCTTTAGCTTTTCGTTGAAAGACCTTAGTATTATTTATATTTTAAAATTTATTATCTATCTCCTCTACTAGAATGTAGGCTTACCGAGGGTAGGGATTTTGTTTTACTCACCATTATATGCCCAGCACATGGAATAGTAACTGATGCGTGGTAGGCACTCAAAAAATATTTGTTGATTGAATGAGTGATGTCTTTTTAAAAAAATTTCTTAAGACGCTGATGCACACCTAGGTCTCTAGGGATCTAATGCAGGTCTGGTTTGTAGCCCCATCCCCCTTAACACTTTTATTGATGATTAAGATAATAACATTGATGGTGTGATAAATTGATCACACACCAACTGGAAAGAATCACAAATGAGCTGGATGAGACAGTCAGGATCTCCTCCTGCCCCCCGACTGAATCCCGACAAAATGTAAGAACGAATCACACCTAACAATATAAAGTTTAATAGGGACAAGTGTAAAGTACTCAAAGATCCAAAATTCAGTTGTACAAGTATAGATTGGGGGCGAGATGTCTTACAATTGCTCACATAGGAAGATTTAGAGTCTCCTGTAGATTGTTAGTAGATGATGAGTCAACACAGTGTGATGTACCTCAAAAAAAAATCAATCTTTTGCTATATTAATAGAAATATAGTGTTCAGGTTGGGAAGTTGTTCTCTAGTACTCACTTGTGATCAGGCCACATTTGTTCTGTGTTATAAACCCTTCAACCTGTAAGAAGGACATTGATAAACAAAAGATTATTCAAGGAGAGTAAAAAAGGATGAGGGATCTGGTAAATAGTGTCATATAAAAATGATTAAAAATGATTAAAAAATGTAAGATTGTGTGTGGGTGTGTGAGAATGGGGATGATAGCTAGCATATATAGCTACCTTCCAAAGTTAGAGGGGCTATCCTGCAGAGGAGAGATGAGATTTCTTCTGAGCAGTCCCAAATGACAGATGGAGGACCCCTGAGTGGAAGATGTAAGCATGTATATTTCAACCCAACAATTAGCCTTGCTCACCGATCAAGTAGATAACGTTAGTAGTAAGTTCCCTGCCCCTGATGGTATTCAAGCAGAATTCAGGCATTCCTGCCCCATTTGCTGGATATATCTGTGATGGAAGTTCAAACACTGGGGTGAGGGATCAGGTTCATCACAATAGCAAACACATATAGAGTGCCTACTATAGGGCAGGTACCATCATATGTGATTAATGTGGATTGTTATGCTTAAAACTCATATCAGTCGTACTAGTTCCATCTTACAGATGAGAAGAGTGAAGCTCAGAGGGGTTAAGCAACTTGCCCAATGTCTTACACCTTGTACAAAGCAGAGCAAGGATTTGAACTTAAGCAGTCACATCTCTGACCTTAATTATTATTCTATAAAGGACTCCCACTTCTAGAAAACCATTCCTTCCCACCCTGACATTCTGTCACTCTAATGAAGTATTCAAACCAGGGAGCTTATTATCTCCAGTAGTAAATGATTCTCTAGTAAATAGTTCCTTTCAATATAGTATGTAGGGACTAAATTTGCCTGGGCATTTGCCACTTGTGGTGTACCATATGGAGCCCAGCATAGGACCTGACACACAATAGGTGCTCAGTAATAATTTTTTTAAAACAAAAAGAATACGTGAATGTAACCACACAAGATTGGCTGCATTCAAAATGACAAAATCTCAATATATTGTGCCAGAGGAAAAACGAGAATTTCTGGGTGGTCTACTGAGGACACTTGGCAAAAAGTGGTAATCCATCATTTCTAGCAAAGGCCTTGAGAATTCCTGCTCAGTTTGGACAATATTCATTTCAACAAATATTTATTGAGTGCCTGTCCTGTGCTAGGTGTGACCAACATGCTGAGGGTCCAGAGGTGAATAAGAGGATGTACTGTTAGTGGGGGAGATGGACAGGTAAGCAAATTCTGACAATGCCATGTGACAAGTGCTGTCGCAGAAATGTGTGTGTATGTGTGTTTTTCAAGTATTACAGAAGCACAGAACTAATTCTACTTGGTTGCAAGAGTTGCCTGATACTTGATTACATTTTAAAAATGACTGCAACATACTTATATGAGTTTATTTGGTCTTCATAAAGACCATGTGAGGTCCATGATCCCTTTCTGTACAGAAGATGAAATAAAGTTTCATAGAGGTTAGGTGAGTTCCCCCAAGGTCAGGCAGCTGATAAGAATAATTGCTGACACTTAGTGCATGCTTAGGATATCTGAGACTCTGTTTTAAACCCTATTAAGACATTTTTTGTTTAAAGATTTATTTAGGGGTACCTGGGTGGCTCAGTCATTAAGTGTCTGCCTTCGGCTCAGGTCATGATCCTAGGTGCTGGGATCGAGCCCCGCATCGGGCTCTCTGCTTGGCCAGAAGCCTGCTTCTCCCTCTCCCACTCCCCCTGCTTGTATTCCTGCTCTCGCTATCTCTCTCTCTGTTAAATAAATAAATAAAATCTTTAAAAAAAAGAGATTTATTTATTTATTTTAGAGAGAGAGTGGGGGTGGGCAGAGAGAGAGAGAGAGAGAGAATCTGAAGCAGACTCCAGGATGAGCGCAGAGCCTGACATGGGGCTCATCTCAGGACCCTGAGATCACGACCTGAGCCAAAACCAAGAGTGGGATGCTTAACCAACTGAGCCACCCAGGCGCCACGGCCCTATTAAGACATTTAATCCTCATGACTACTCTCTGAGGCTCTTATTGATATCACTGTAATTTTACAAATGGGAAAACCGGGCACAAGATTTAAATGACTTGCCCAGAGTCGCATAGCTAGAAAGTGGAAAACAAGAATTCGCATCTCTGCGTTCTGGCTTTAGCAGGCACACACACTTACCCACTGAGCTAAATTACCTTTAACTGGTTCCCTAAAGAGCTGGAACTCACCTGGAGTCTGAGTCCAAGTTCAGCTTTCTTTCAGGTGGCCTTGCCCTTTAGCGATATTGCATCCCAATGAAAAGAAGTGGTGTGTGCCTGAATATAAGGAGAGGTCGTGTAGGTTGGGCATCCAAGGAAGTGTTTTGGGAGCGGAGTGGTAAAATCTAGAATATGCATTAGTTGTGTACACAGAGTTTTTCAGGGTGGCCAAAATTTGGCTTGTTGTCCTTCAGGTCAGCACTCTGAGCTCTAGGGACTATGATTTGTTACTCATAGGAACTAGCCACCAACACTTAGCCTGCAGCCTTTTTAAAATCGAGTTTAAATTTTTTAAAAGAAGATGACAGGATGTAAAACATTAAGAATGAAGCAAGTTAAATTCAATACCTTATAAATAAGCAAGAATGGAGTTACAGAAAAGGAGAAATGAAGTACATAATTGCTTAAATTGTCCAAGCCTTTTCTCTATAATAAAAATTCTTGGATTGAAAAATAGTTCAATCCAATATTATTGTGCTTTAATAATTAAGTTGAGTTGGCTCTGTGGCAAATCTGAGAAAGAATTGGTTATTAAAATGAATGAAGTAGATTACCCTTCTCTCAACAATTACTACTTTAGCTAATGTGGATATGACCCATGCAATTGAATCGACTGCATTTTTTAAGACATCCATCTCCCATAATTTTTGGAGATTTGATAATTTTAAAATTAGCTGCAGGGATTTCTGTGGTAGGCAGAGGGGCAGAAAGGGTCAATGTTCTTCAGCATTCATTCCTTCAAAGCAGGTGGGATTTGGGGTTTTGTTTGGTTTTTAGTGTTTTGTTTTGTCCTTTATGGAGGCCTGGTAGATTCACCAATTATCTTGGCCTTTGTGTTTATGGATTTCTATTTTCTTGGCTTCAGGTCCTTGGAAACATTTGTTTTGATGATGGCAGGAGGGTTAGTCATGTTTTATTTTTGTTGTTCCTATTTATTTTTAAGATCCTTTTGTTCAAGGCAACTTACAAGGTATTGTATAACCTGCATTTATGTCTCCACAAATAAAATACTCTTAGTAGTAACTTCTAATACAACTTTAGAGGGATAGTTAATAATTTGATGCCCAGTTCATGTCCATCAGAATGATTCTGCAGTATTAGTAGCTAGAACAAGGGTATGCTCTGAAAAAATAATGCTTGAAATTTATAATTGAATTTAGCATTTAAACTTGAAATCTCAAGTTTTGTAGATCAATTAATTTTGAGCTACCAAGCAGACAAATTCTTATAAACATATTTTCCTTTGCATCACCGAGTCAGTAAAAGTTGGAAAATTCTTTTTTCACACATTCCATTTTTAACTAAGCCTAAAGGTAAATTGCTTTTAGAAACCACATCCCAAACAAACAGTTTTTCATAAAGTTATGAGTAAACGAATAGAGTAGGCTCTGCTAGCATTCGGGATGTATGTCTAATTAGAACTCCCAGTATTTCAAACATATAATTTACCAACGTTGAGGTTTTTAATTCTTAACTTTGAGTCTACTGAGATAAAACAAGTGACCTTTGTTGGAAATATGTCAAGAATCAGTTTTCTCAGGTTGACCTTTAGTTTCCTGGTCACCAAATCAAAAGCTGTTGGTTCCCAGGCTTAAAGGTGTCTGAACTTACTAAGGTTGTTAAAAGATCAAGGCAGAAAGCT